GGAGTAAATGACGAAAGAATTTACATTTCGAGTGTCTCTAACTACATGTTTTCACTTTTTTACCAATTCACATCTTTCAATTTCTCACTCTTGAAAGAAAGCGAATGCAAATAGGCTATTTTGTTTTGATAGAAACAGAAAATACTTCAAAAACAGACACTGGTTCAGATCCAATTTTTTTTTTTTTTTTTTTAGAAAGAAAGTCATACGGTTTATAACATGCGGAGGAGTAAATGACGAAAGAATTTACATTTCGAGTGTCTCTAACTACATGTTTTCACTTTTTTACCAATTCACATCTTTCAATTTCTCACTCTTGAAAGAAAGCGAATGCAAATAGGCTATTTTGTTTTGATAGAAACAGAAAATACTTCAAAAACAGACACTGGTGACCTGGATACATAACGCAGCCCCAGAAAAAGTAGTAGCGTCAGTATGTATTTGTTAATTGAAGAATGTTATATTTACTTAAAGGGGTCATATGATGCGATTTCAATTTTTCCTTTCTCTTTGGAGTGTTACAAAGCTCTTGGTGCATAAAGAAGGTCTGTAAAGTTGCAAAGACTAAAGTCTCAAATCCAAAGAGATATTCTTTATAAAAGTTAAGAGTCAGCCACGCCTACCTAAAATGGCTCGTTCTAACACGCCCCCACATATCTACCTCACTATCTGGGAAAATTTGCATAACGCCGCCCAAATGTTCACGCAAAGAAAGAAGGCATAACTTTTATTCTCGCTGTAGTATTGTTGTTGCCGCCGCCATGTCGTGAAGGCGCTGTGTGCTTTGTAGTGAAAGCGAAACTACTTTGTTAGGCCTTCCAAAAGAGGATGATATCGCTTCGTCATGCCTAGAGCTGATCTGTGCTGGTCGCTGAGGAAATACTTCAACTTCGCGCTGTCGATCGCCGGATCGGCTTTCACCGTGGACGAAGCGGAGTCCAGCCCGGGGTCGTCACATGTGGTTGCCGCAGGCATCACAGTATGGTAAGGGACATAACATTTCCGTCACACGCTTGAGGAATTCGGCCAATCACAACGCACTGGATAGCTGGCCAATCAGAGCACACCTCGCTTTTTCAGACCGATGAGCTTTGTAAAAATCGACGCGTTTCAGAAAGGTGGGGCATAGAGGAGAAACAATAATGTACAGTATGTGGAAAATAATGTGTTTTTTTAACCTTAAACCACATAAACACATTTCATTACACCAAATACACAAAATACTGTTCTTTTTAGCAGCATCATATGACCCCTTTAATATGTCAAATATGCTTTGCACCTACCTAATGTACAGTGAAACTATATAGACATACTTCCTGCTCAGCTATCACACTTGTTTAATTAATCTATTGTATTTTTGTTAAAGCTTTTTTATACATAAATTATCAAACAATAAAAAACACCATGTAGTTTATTCACATGTGCTACATTTGTAGCCTACTTGACTTTGTATTTAGGCGGACAAGACATCCCATTCACAGACCGTATAGAAACTCTTTTTTTGTTTTGTTTTTTGTAATTTAATTCCTCATGACAAATGATTAAGCACAAAACAGGCGAAACCTGTGCAGAGAAATTTTAGTTTCCTGTAAAAATCTCATACCACTGAGAGGGGTTTCCCCTGCATACTAGACTCAATGGCATTAACCCACCATGCAAATATTAACAGCAGCACCAGGCCTACTTATTTCCTGGTCCAGAATCTTTGGGAAAGTCAAAAAATGTTTATTATACATATGCAAAACTAAATTGAACAGAGTTATGTCTTCCCACAATGTTCAAGGTTTAAAGGCTAATAAAAGTGTAATGTAAATGTTAAACAAACAATAATGTTACTGAAACTGTGACTTAGATTGAGTTGACCAAATGTTTCCCTTTTGTATTGTTATTCTTGACCTAGACACCCAAACAGTGTTTGACGGTAACCATAATACGCTTTTAAACCCTTTATTAAGTGTGATTCACAAATTTTTGAGACAGTCACACAAAGGTTGAAATGCACATGTTGCTTAACTTGATACAATGGAACAGACAAACTCAGTCCAGCAGTGCCATGCAGTCATCTGTAAAGGGTGTGAATTTGCAACAATTTAGAGATTTTATGGTACTACTGTTTAAAAGAAATAAAGAAAATAAATGAATAAGATTGCCATTGGCAGTGAAGAGAGAAATTTTTTTCCTCTGTTTCTGTCCTAGAAAACAACAGATTTGAGAGTGTTATTTAACTTTATATAACTATTTATTTATATAACTATTAAAGGATAATTTATTCTAGATGACTCAAATATGTTCACAGAAACATACCAACAAATGTCAAAAACTGCAGTTCTGTCAGGACCACTATCGTCAAAGATAATTGACAATTAGCATACAGTTTGGATTGGCGGTATGGTTCCGTTCTGGGCAAGAACTCCCTGCGCATCCATGCAGCCTAGCATGGATGAGAGCAGGGAGAGCAGCGATTACCCCCCATGTTAAACAGAACAGAACCAACATAAATGTATTGCAGATATCGTTAAAGTTCAATAATGTTATGTACACATTTAAGAATTAGTCTGATTCAAAGGATAATCCGAAGGCTGAATCCTGACTGACAGAGGAGGAGTTGGGGATGGAGGAGGGTAATTAGCTATTGAGCAATGCGAAACTGCTGATACTACTGCGGGACCTTATATATGAATACTTAGGTGTCGTATTCCCATAGGTTGATGGGGATCAGCTGAGAGTCAGCTGATGCGAGCTTGACTAACGTGACCTGCCAGAACTAACGCTACGCTTGATTCCCATGGTGTCTGGCTTTTCTGAGATATTATATTTTATAAAATGTTGTATTTCTTCTGTTCATAATGTAAAATAGCCAAAGCTGTTTCACGACTTTATTATTTCATAAATAAAGGCAAGTGAAAGTATTTTGCTCTTGTAGAAGATAAAGTCGGTTACATTTGCATTTTTTTGTACCACTTTTGCTGAAAGCACACAAGCATATACATAGAAGCCTTTCCCACAATGTGGTGTTAAAGAAAAAGAAATCAACATCAATAACAAGGTTTTCATTGCCTCTTTAACGTATAAATTATATTCTAACAGACATTTCAAAGTACAGATAATGCTGTCGATGTTACATCACAGTGTCATACACAAATTTAAAAAAAAAACTTTGATAATTAGAGGGAACTTCCTCAAACCACAAAATATGAATGAATCATTTAATCACTCTAAGATGTTCAGCTGTCACAGTTTAAACATCACTTTAATGTGGAATGGGGAAGTGGTTTGTTGTAGTTAAGCCAGACTAATTGGGGTATGTTGATGGAAAACATGACCTTGATTCCCTTCTATTAGTTTCCTCGACTAACTGGCAATGTTACATAAAAATCATATTTCGTGCGAAGTATTTCAGAAAACTTATCAGTGACAGTCCGGTCAACAAGATCTACACTGATGTTCCGTTTTGAACCACTAGAGGTCAGTGTAGAAACACTGTCACCAATTAGAAAAATGCACAAGAATCACCGACTGATCAAATCCGTTTATTTGCATAAGAACCTCCATCCACAGGGGATACAGTTTCAGTTTATGGTAATTGTAACCCTGTTCCACAATTCCATGTAGTTTTCTTTTATGTAGAATGTTAAAATGTTCTAACAGACTTTGCAGGTTAAAGTGCTTTTTAAAAGATATCTAAATTTATGCTCAGAACTGTCATTAGATCATCTATTCAATCTATTCAAAGAGAACAAAGACAATAGATGAGTTGTTGTGATTTATTTGCCAATGTTTCAACAAAACACTTCCTTAGAATACAAAGTTTTTATGTAACTGCTTTAAGTATAAATGGAAACATGCAGCTGGAATTCAAATAAATCAGGAAATTGTTGTAATATGTTTTGTTTTAGCGAATGACACATATTGTTTGGTTGTTGTTTTGTTTTGTTTTCTTTTCTTTTCTTTTCTTTTGTTTTCTTTTGTTTGTTTGTTTGTTTTCATTGTCATGTGCCACATGAAGTGCATTTTTCAGGTGACCTAGCAAACATATAGTGTATTTAATGTAACCTATGCTTAGCAGCTATTGTCTTTAAGTCTCATTAAATACTATCTATTTTATTCATGTTTTGATTATATTATTTTAATTGTGTGTGTGTGTGTGTGTGTGTGTGTGTGTGTGTGTGTGTGTGTGTGTGTGTGTGTGT